GACCTATCTTAACAGTCTAACATAGATAAAAGTATCGAGAGAATTATTATTAATTCACTCTAAAAGATAAATATCAAAGTTGACCACACTATAGAGTATAAGCGGAAATTTTCCAATTGCTGATGTATCACGTCATTATAACGACCAAATTTCGGTAATACTGACGATTTAATAGGATCGTCAAAGATTTTGGTTTATCATTAGCTAAGTGCTAAGATTGTCTTCTTAGACTCATAAAAAGACACGATAGTTTCAGGACACTATGCATATCAAAATCATCAATATACGTCTTTGTATAATAGATGCTAATTTTTATAACGTTGCATACTTCCAAAAGCTTTCTTATATCCTCCATAAATTTGATACTAAACATTAACAAAATCTCGTTTTCTCAAGCATAAATCTGCCGATGGCAATGATAGCATAAATTTCCGTAAAGTTCGTCTAACCGCAAAATGATAGTTCCACTCTGTGAACCTCGTGCCTTTGTGATGGCAAAAGGTACGCGAAGTTATCTACTTATAGTTGAACAGAAAAGTTTAAATACGTGCCTCGTATCTGCAGATCTTGTTTATGCACGCAAAGCTACATCCAAGCATGTATCGTAATACTAAATATATTCCCGGTTATCTACTGAGAGATATAAGAGATTAACTTTATTAACCAAATTACATTCAGAAATGCATTCTCACATTCGTCCGCTTGACTTATATAAAATATTAATATACGCAAAATGCAAATAATTATATATGCGTATGAGATCGCGCCGGAGATCGAGGCGATAGGCGATTTCGCCGAGAAAATAACGCACCGCGCGAAATCAAAACATTGAACGCCTGCCTCGGGCTACTCTATTTACGTGAAAATTAATGTGACCTGTCACCACTGGATGGCCGCGTTTCCCGTATTTAAAATCGTACACACATGTGTATAAGATGGCAAGCCCTTCGCAGACTCGCAGAAACAGCTCACAATCAGCTCTGAAGCCTCAATTGGGCCGCTTAATGCCGAGTGTATTCTCAGTGGAGGGGTGGCGATGCACCCTCCTCCACCATCAAACTCGACGTCAAACGGTCCAATGGAGGCATCAGAGCTGAGCTGTTTCTGCGAAACTGATTCATTCGATCTCAACACCGAGGTGGAGCCGTATTAACCAGTGTGAATGAGCTGCCGGCTCCTCGAAGGATTCGCCTTCTTATCTATATGTGTGTACGATTTTAAATACGGAAAACGCGGCCATCGGATGCAGCGTCGTATATACATACATTTATGTGCAAAAGCTAATTACGAGGAAAATAAAAACCTGATGTAGTCCTTATAACAAATAAATTATATATATATTTTTAACGTGGTTTTTAATTAAAACAAATACAAAAGTCTAAAATTGATTTTCCTAAAGGGATTGGTAATCTTTCTAACGCATAGAATGAACTTTTTAATTGTTTTACGAAATCTTCGATAAAATTCGCGTTCACTAGCACTAGAGAATTAAGCGATGCAAAATCGCAGTTTCGGTGAAGTATCGCACTCGGTCAATCACGCAGAAGCAGATACGGTGCTAATAGAAATTGTGAATAGCCGCGCGCCGTTCATCATTGACAATGACGTTGACGAGAGGAACAATAACACGAGGCGCTTTGTCGATTGCATTAGCGAGGGCACGCAGTGAGCAGCAAACAAAAGCGGTATCCTCCGCCGTGCAGAGACAACCGCATACTGTTCACTCATTAACGACGTGCATCTTTACGAAAACAAAGACTCTCGCCTTCTCTTTGTGTCTTGATAGCGTTGAAAAGCCCATAGACTGCCGTATAATTACGGATAGGACAACTGTTGAATTGTCCTAAAAAAGACAACACTGTCACGCTGTTTCTGAGATACCTATACACGATCTTTCGCAAACATTGCGTATTTAAAGATTCGATAGTGCGAAAAGTACAGCACTGTATAATTCATGCATCTAACATTAATGTATCGGCAACCGAATCCCAGCGATTAAGGACAGTTATTGTTAGCATTATACCAAAACTATGTAAAAATCCCACGGTATTCCGATGGATCTTTCATTATATAAAATTGTGTGAATTTATTTTAAAACTTATGCAAATATTAAATCTCAGCAAAATGCAGCTGTATGTATAAAGCAAAAGTTGCGAAAGATAAACGTGGTAAAGCTCAGTGGTAACAACGTTAGTTATTGAAGCCTTTGATAATAGTAGTCAAGATATAAAATAAGTCCGGAGCGAATGCTTTGATAAAGAGAAATGCTGCTTGGGTTAATTGTGTCCGTTTGAACTTTAGGCTTTAGAAACAATCTTACCCATCTCAAATTGTTAATTAACATGTCTATTGAGAACAATATTTAAATTTTGCAAATATTTTAATATTTGCAAATAATTGGTAAGCGAATGATGTCCGCTTACGAAAAATATTTTTCTTGTAAAAAGAATAATACACGGAAAAGTTTAATAGATCTTCATTTATGCGCAATCACTAGCATGCTTTTGAAGGCATAAATGCTGCGACATGATAATAAATCTTCAACAAACTATTATAGCTATTTTGTGCAATATTGTAAATAAGTATTGTCTCCATTTTCAACCAAAATATTTTCTTATCGCTTCGCCGGGATAAACGATAAACTACGCTGACGTACAAACTCACACAGACGCAAAAATTGATTGTAGCTTCGAGCAATGGAGTTTCACTAATTTTGCTAATTAGAGCGGTCGCTGTTTCAATAACTAACTTCGTATTAAACGCAAAATAATAATCAAACTTGTAATTGCTTCGAACAAAGATGCTTCTCTGATAAATGCTAATGAGACTTTTGAAAACAGAAAAATACTTTAAAAATACTATTACATTAAAATGATAATATTAAAATTTAAATTAAGAATATGACGAAAGAGATCGTTTCATTAAAATTATTTTCCATAATATTTTGTATAATAATGTAAAAATAAATGTATAATGTAAAATTAACACAATTTCCTCAAATCTCCGAAATTATGAATACATATACCAGAATTTCATATAACTTCGGACCAAAACCTGATTTTCCCGATAATTACTTGCTCGATAGTTATGCAAACGTTTCAATGGCTCTGCTAATAATGTTCACAGACAATCGTGCAAACTCGACGTCAGTCATGTACGGCCAAGCGATAATAGCATCCATATTCGATGCAATTCCCGTCGCAGAGACCACAAGACTCGCAATTTCATCACGGCCGACCGCGCCACTAAATCCGCACCACACTTTCCAGAAACAATGCCACCATCGTTAATTAATAAACCACGAGCACGCGGATGTCATCGCGCCTAATTGCGGACGCGTCAAAGCGCGACGCCAGGCCGGATACAGCGTTGCAGCTCGCAGTGTCAACTGCTTGTTCGACGGTAGTGGTCGTCGCACAAAACGCTCCACGGGACAAAAGCTTGCTGTCCCCAGTCGGACAGCCTGTGAATACCGGCCTGGTGTGCCGACGCGACTCGTTTTAATTGTGCAAAACAAAGGACCTCTCGAGCGCATACGAGAGCGACGCGTGTACGCGACGTGTAACGAAACTAACTTGTTGATCTCACTTAAACGAAGAGCGTTATTAAGAAGTGCCCGGGGAGTAATCATGCCGTGATGTCAACGGACATCGTGGACCCAGCGCGCAAAATTACATATTTAACGCAAAAGAGCGCTTTGAATTCAGTCGTAATATTCCAGAATTCAAGTTTCTTGAATTCTGGAATGACATAGCCATTTCGAAGCAAACCCCGGATTCTAGAATTTGAAGGTGAAATACCAAAGATGTCTGTGCTAGTGAAACGTCAGAAATATCAAGTTCTGGACGAGATTAGAATTAATTTGCAAAAAGCTCGTGAAAGGTTCGTCATGGATACAAGATAAAATAGATTAGAAAATAATGCTATTTTCCTCTTTACTATTTTTACAAGCTATCGATATTTATAGGTATTAAAAATAGATAATTACACGCAGCCTCCGTAAGTTTTCCTCATTAAAATTTTTAAAAACATAAAGAAAGTTTGTAAATCGGGAAGATCTCTTTTATCATACGTTTACGCAAATATTTATATCGATTATTAAGAAAAATAACTCTTAAAACGGTTTAGCGACGAAGATTTTGTATTTTTGGTGATTCTTTTATATTACTATATGTATCATTTTTCTTTATATATTAATATATGTATAATTTTTGTGATCTTCTTGATATTACTGCGAGCAGAAAAACAAAAATGTCCAGAATTGAATCTCGTTGTTTTTCAAATAACAATAAAAGAAAAAAGTCTACCTCTTCAATTAAGTGTTTACAGAACCTTCGATCGTAGAAATCACAAATCGAGGAGTCATCAACAATAATCTTTTTGCTCCGTGAAGCAGCTTTTGGCGAGCTTAAAGAAGTGTTCGGCTTGAAAGAACGCGAGATTGCATTAGAACGCTTGATCACACCTTCCACTTTATTCTTTAGATCAGAGAGTGGTGAATTTCAGTGCAATCGGAAGAAAAAAATTTTGCAGTACAATTGTAGATTCTAATTTTGCATAAAAGCAAGAATCATAGTGACATTTGTACGTATTATTCTCTTCAAGTATTGTCCTCTTTCGGCTCTTTCTCTTTTTCATTATATTAATAAAAGAGCTTTTATGTGTGAGAGATATCCTTCTATTATCTGATAAAAGGATATAATATATCATTCAAAATATATGTAATGTATATATTTACATTTCATTGTATACAAATACCAAATGTAAATTTACATATATGTACATATATCCATAAATTAATTAACGTGATGTAATGCGACAGTTGTATAATAATGACCGCATTATACAATAGATGCTCTAAAATAATAATTATGTTTTCATGCATTTGAATATTATTGCTATAATTCTCACTGTTTTTCCGTATTTGCTCGATTCAGAGCACAAATCTATTCGCGTATTACATAAAGCAATGTTTTATAATATATAAATTCTTTTTGCAGCTTGGCCGAATGCGGATCACGAAAGGAAAATGTTGGGCGATTAGGAGGGGTTGAAGAGATGCGCGTGAAGCACCCTATTTTCGAGTCTCTAAGGTATACATCAATGCTAATGCTCCCCTTCATATGAGAAACACGAGAATGACGAAATGATCCCCTTCCTTCCTCTCACATAGCAGACTCACTTCTATCGGTGTACTGCTAACAAGCAAATTCTTTGATCGATGCTGACGTCGGGTCGCCTCAGGGCCGCGAAACTTGGTCGTTGCAAAAGTCTTTTCGAAAAAAGCTCGAAATCAGAGAGTGACATATCCAGAAATTCAAAGAAATCAGAAATCTCTTGCCAACCCTGATTTACATCCCTTCGTATCTTTGTGCGTATGACGGCATCAGCCAGCCGCGAAAAAAAACGATAGCAAAAAGTAATCTATGCAAATGTATGTTCTCCAATACATTTACTCTCGAGAGTAAGATAAATAATAAATAATCGCAAGCAATAAATAAAAAAGAATAATAAATCAAAAATAGAAGAGAATTTATCATCTCTAATTTATCTCTGTGTATTCTTTTATGACATTAGTCATCTGAATATATGCAATAAATTGATAAATAAATACGCTAATTAAAAATAATGTATATAGATATTTTAACGCAACATTTATTCACAATTTTTTTAGCTTTCCTTGTGAAATATGAAATATTCTTTCTAAATTACAAACAGTTTAATTTTATAAATATTTCTGAAATATCTGTAAAAAGAGGAACTTTGAAGATACATGCATTTGCATTCATCGAATGAATTAACTTTTCATATAATTTTTTATAATTTATAAAAACTTTTTGCTATCTCAAAGGAATATTTAATATTATTGCGAGTATCGGCGTTATTTATTACTCTATACCGTATTTTATGGATTTACGTACATTCACAATCGTAAAATTTGATGAAATTGATGAAATATTAAATTGTTCTCTCGCGATACGTATAGTATCTACATATATATAACTAGAATTTAGTTTAAATTGTATTACTATCACGCGTGCAAATTGGAAAAAGATCACAATTTTTCCGTTGGAAAAATCCAACATCAAACAGAGGAAAAAACCGGCAAGTAAAAGTCTTCGCCGTTTGCTCGATTTGTCACTCCGCTGACTTGCGCTCGTTTCCTCCATCAAAATGGAGCTCAACAGCGTCGAAGTGTGCACGACGAATATTTAACGACTGCAATATTGTTGTCGATAAAATTGGAAATTTAAAGTATTATACGGCTGCAGTTACTGTTATTCTCATATTCACTCGATAAGAGCAGACTTGTAATAGTTGTATGTATATATGTATATATATACATATTATGCAATATTTCTATGCGATATATCGTAATATCTGACATAGAGAACATTTTCATTTTAACTGCTTAGAGCCCAGACTTTATAAAGACCTAAATTTTAAGGAGCTGTATAGCTTATAAGATTTTAGAAAAATTAAATGCTATAAATAACGTAAAGCTCATGTTTGACCATCATACTTCAATAACCTCGACTTAATTAACTTAATAAACTGAGCTATATCTCCGTAAAGAAATCATATTACGCTTATAAAGAAGATAATAAGATTTATAATAATAAAGAGAAAAGGTGCTAGAGAAAGCGGATGAATAGTAAAAAAAGATTATATGAAAGAATATAAAAAAGTTGAAAATGAGGAAGAAGAAAAGGAAAACATTATTATGTTTATCGTTTTTAGTTTTAAGGCTTTGTCTGTGTAATAAAGTATGGAAATTTCCCTTTCAGGTGACGAACCCCGAGAAGAAAAAATACAAACATGCCGGGTGGTGGACGGGTCGCGGGTAAAGTTGGGATCTATAGCTCTCACTACAATGGTAATATGGATGTGGATATGGTTCTATTAGGTACATATAAATGGATATGCCACATTAGCACCAAAGCAATTTTTTGGTGTTGGTTTTGCAGCACATGTATCACACGTACCATAGATATTGGTGTAAATAAGTTATAAAAATTGCTTCGGTATGATTGTGGCATAATACATTGTTGGCAATCAGTGGCGTAATTCTGTAACAAATCGCCGAGAGGATTTTTCTTCCATGGATTATTTACGATGCGCATCACGTAGCGAATAATTCTCCATAATCTCAGTATAATTTACTTTATGTTCATGATATTATATGAAAAATAAGTTCATATTCTTAACAGAAAATTTTTTTTCTTTTTCGAGAGTGAATTAAAATCCTTTCGTGCAGACAAGATGTGTATATTATTGTTACCTCTTAATTCTTGTGACATGTTAACATTTATTTTATTTTTATTATGTTTTATACGTATATATAATCGAACCGTTTATACAAAATTATTAGCTTTCGTTTGAAATGTTATCTTCTTTTTTGCTGATGAATAAGCTTTGCTGCATTGATTGCCAATGTGCTTTGGTTACGCAAAATATTATTCTACAATATTCTACATAATTGTTATATAAAAAAAAGTAAAAAATTATTTTTCATCTATCTTTACATAAATGTTTCAAATTTATCTTTACCAAATATATACAAGATTCGAATGTGGATCGAGTTTTGATTTTATTACGCCACTCTAACGTCAGACAATTGCGCATGTATGACACGATCCCAATACGTAAATGGTCAAAACCGCGGCGCATTTTTGGCAGCGACATATGAAATTGTTGGTGAAATCAATAACGCGACCAGAATTGTGCTAATGTTTACCGGATACAACGGGAAATTTACCAAAATGTTGACCCTGGGCTAACCGCCAGTAAAGCCGCCCTCTCATAATTTACAAATAAAATTCTCTACATCGATCTTCAGTAACTATTCGCGATTAAATTTCCTCCAAGAAACTCCCTTGTGGAATATCGTTTTGAAATTACTTATATCAATATTCGTAAGTACCGTGGCTCAAAGAAGATTGGAGCAGCGCACGTCTCCTTTGATCATAATTTTACAAATAATATCTAAAATTGATCGATAAAAAAAATTATTCAAGTTAAAATTAATATTTAATAATATTTTACTGATATTTTTGCTAAGTGAAATTTGACAAAAAGCACAGTATCATTATCCAGAAACAACTACATGAAGAGTATTCAAGATTGAAAAATTAAGACTTAATATGATGTGATGTCTCACAAATAACAAACAATACTTTAATAATGTATTCTAACAGAGGTTAATAAGAATAGAGATTGTTAACAAAAAAGAGAATGTTGAAATCATAATAACTTTAGAAGATAGCTTCGAACACTTTTACATATGTAGAAATTGATTTTATGTAAACTTCACTGAATAATTGATTTTTATTGCATCTATCATTTCATTTGTGATTCATTCTTCATATTTCTTTCATATCAATATACCATTAACATTAAATATTACCATATTAAAAAAAACTATTCTAAAAAACAAATTTTTTTACTTGTACAGCATAATTTTTTTTTAACTTTGCCGTTCATGTTTAAAAAGCGAGCATTGTTATATTCCAGGAAAATTCCGTGCACAGAGAGAAAAAGCTTTGCGAGAAAAGTTAGCTTATTACCGTCAGCATCGAGTTTTAAGTTCTATCCATTCCATTTTTACCACAATGATAGTTAGAATTTAGAGGAGCCTAGAATATATTTACTCAGTGCGAAGAAAATGCATTATTCTGTCGGAAATAAAATAAAAGTTTTAAAATGCGGAAAAAAAAATAAAAAATATCCTACAGAATTCTAACATTTCGTAGCTATAGTTTCATTATAAGTCACGTAGTTCGAATTCAGACTAAGTTTTAAGCACCGTTCGAATACCGACGCAACTACAATTCGTCGACAACAAACTTTAAGATTCGCCGTCGTTACCGTAATGATCCAAGAGAACGCTTTTAAGCGCGATAGTCAAGTAACAAGCGTTAAATTACGCGGAAACAAAAACCGTTCGAGTTTGCGGTGTAATAACAACTTTCTTGCAGTAGGTAATAATGTGCGTTTTCCAACAAGCGTCCATAAGTCGTTCTATCTCTCTTTTTTCGCAACGAGTAACAAAGACAGAACAACTCAGAACCAACTGACAATCTCAGAATCAGGTAAAATTGGATAAAATCGAATGGCGATATTTTTTCGAGCGTCGCTTGTATTCACTATTCAATTAATTAGACCAGCATCCTTAAGTTTCAGCTACTTATTTTAAGTCTTTCTGATTATCGTATTATTATGTACGTACCATTTTAGCTTATATATTAATTCGCGACTAATTAATGTGCCATTTTTTGGCTCTGAGAAATAAACGCAGTAGAAGACGTGACAAAAGTAAGAGACACAAATCAATAGACAGAACTCATTAGCCGAAATAAACTTCGTTCAGTTTCTCATTATAAGATATGTAAAGTTCAATATGTCAAGTTTGATAATTCTCGAAAGATGACGTGAAAATGTGAAATAGTTACCAGATTTTTCGCAGAATTAATACCACGATTTGAATATTTTACATTTTCGCGATAGATGTCTTTATGAATTTTCATATCTCATTATTATGTATTTGATATCGGAATTAATTTCAGTAAAATACATAAAAAATCATTTCGATGTTAAATATTTATTACTATTATGCATTTTTGTGTGTGCATAATAAATCGATAGACAATTATACATTATTCGGAATCAAATGTTTAATCAGTCATAGTTTATCCATTTCAATTAAGGCAGTAAATCTATGAAATTTATCAACTATATCTTCATTATATTATTATAATAACTCAAAACTTGAATTTTCAATTTCCCTTTTAAATGAGTAAATATTTACAACAACAAATTAAGAATTTAGTTATCCAGTATTTCACAAAAATAAATAATTTGGCATATTTTATTGCTGCAGTTCTTATCAATGTAAATTTAAATAATTGTATACCAATCAGTGTTACAAAAAAGCAAAGGCTAATTTAAAAATTTTTTAATGACTTTCCTGATATCTTTTATTTTATATTATACATCTTCTACGTAATTCTCATGTCTAATATAATTTTCACAGATCTATTGCCTCAATATTAATAAAAAATGATTTATTACTCACCGCCACGATGCGCAGTAGCGGAGTTGCAGTACCCAAGTTGATCTGTAAAATATAAATATATCCAAATTATA